GTTCAAGAGGATTGGGAGAATTATAACTTGAGCCAGTTGCCGCTGTCCTGGCAGTAAGAAGGGGTCAAGACCCTGCACTGGGTGGCGAATACAGGTTTGTCACCTCTGTTCCCTGGTCTCTGGTCCCGCTGAGGATTCCCCACTTGGGCAGGACACTGTTGAAAGAGAGGAAGCAGCTGGGTTCTTCTGGCTGATCAAACTGTCCTCGGCTTTTCTGACTGTATAACCTTGAGCTGGTCTCTTGGTTCACTCCCGTCACTTTGTCGGTGGCAAATTGTAAAGACACAACATGTGCAGGGCACTGCCTCTAAAAGTCAATTAGATGGAAGAGAGAGGAAGGCAGCTGGTGCACTTACTGTCTGTTCACCTGGCTTCCAGGGCAATGGGCAGGGTCTAGTCTCAGATGCAGTTATGGGATCTCCTGGGAACTCCACCTGTTGCTTTCTCATGAGGGAAAATCAGGCATCTCCTATCTGCTTCCTGAGTGCTGATGAAGGTCTCATGAAATTTAACAAAATCATGTCAGTTGGACAGCTTTGCAGGACTGATTTTAATTTGATTTGGACTTTTTTCCAAAATGGTATCAACATTTCCTAGACATCTTAACCTTTAGATAGCTCATGAAGATCGCAGAATTTATCATTTCATAGGGCTGTTGGTGTTGAATCATGACAGGACAATTATGAGAAAAGATTGGGGCAGTAGAGGGGTAGAATCCATCTTGAGCAACAATGACCTTTCAGGAAGAAGGTGGGAAAGACATTAGTTTTTTCCCTAAAGTTTTCCATTTCTCTAACCTGTTGCCTTTTAATTTCCATTTAAAAGGTAATTTGCAAACTCAGCATCTTACAGCCAGTGCTGTAGGCTCCGGGGCCAAGTGGAAAGCAGAACTCTGTCCTTCCATATTAACAGAATTCCCTGGGGAAAAAATTTTTTTTTCATTGTTTTAGTTTATGGAATTATCCAGGACTGTGGGTACTTCAGGAGAAATTGGGACTACATGGAAGATTTTAAATTAGTATTTAGTAATACTGGTGCCTGTGGCATTTAGGTTGTTTCTGCAGTGTAACTCCTCTGCTAGTCATACAGCTTGGTGAGGAGGTGCACTGGCTGTCAGACTTCCTGGGTGTTGCGTACCAGCTCTGGTTATCTTGGGCAAGTGACTTTCCTTGATGTCCTCTTCTGCAAAATAGAGTTAACATTAGTACCCACTTCATACTGTGTCAACGAGAAGACATGTGAAGCCCAGTGGTTGCCCATAGTAATGACTCAATAAACGTGACCTGTTATTATGTGCAAGAGTGGGAGCTTTGGGAGATTAACAGGGACCGTGGTCCACATTCGCTGTAGGAAAGTGCCGTACAGGTGCTCTGGAAGTTTAAAGGAATCAGAATTAGCAAGCAAACTGGCCACCCCCTCACACACTGCATGGTCTCGGCCTATGCACCCTATGCTCCATCCCCCTATCTCTCGGCCCCCAGTCCTCCTGTGCCTTCCTCCTTGTCAAGGGTTGCCATGTGTGATGAAGGGGCCACCACATACATTTGATTAGCTGCTTTTTAGCGTGCTTTCAAGTTTCTTATTTCATTGGCTTCTAGCAAGAGTCAGGTAAATGACTATTTTTCATTTTAGGAAACTGAGGTCCAAGGAGGCTGTCTTGGCATTTTCTACTTACATAATTGACTTCGAGTTATGTCTTGAGCCTTACCCCTTTCCTCCACCACCTCCCCCCCCCCCCCCCCCCCCGCATCCAGAGATAGTGATCCAAGTGGCCCTAACCTTGCTTTTGCTGGAATGTAGGTCTCTTCCTACTATAGTGGCATGTCCTCCCAATCCAGCTCTTTCTTAAAACCCTGTTCTGAGGTATGTCTTCCCAGCACCACCTAGTAATTAACTCCATTCTGAAACTACCTACCTGGAGATAGCATCAGATCCCTCAGGTTAAGGGCTCAGTCCCATAAGACTGCCTCCCCCACTCCTCCTTTCAAACACCAATTACAAGTCCAGGTTGTCATCTCTGCTTCTGACCAACTGGCTGTTAATCAGAGGTTCCCACAATCCCCTCCTTACTTTCATGCCATTTGTTAGAGCAGCTTACAGAACTCAGAGAAACATTTCAGTACTAGACTACCAGTTTATTATAAAAAGGTATAACTCAGGAACAGCCAAGGGAAGAGATAGATAGGACATGGTATGGGGAAAGGGCCCGGAGCTTTCATGCCTTCTTCAGGGGCACCCCTCTCCCTGGATCTCTCCGTGGTCATCAACCTGAGAAGCTCTCCGATCCCTGTCCTTTTGGGTTTCTGTGGAGCCTTCATTACATGGGCTTAGTTGATTAACTCATTGGCCATTGGTGGTTGAGCTCAATGTCTAGCCCCTCTCCCCTCCTCAAAGTCTATTACGTAAGTGGGAGGTTGGGGGGTGGGACTCGAAGTTCCAACCCTCTCATCAGCTGAGGGTTCCCCTGGAAGCCAGCCCCTAGCTTTAGTTTACCGAGGGGCTTTCCAAAAGCCGCCTCATTCACATAAACTCTGGTGTGGTTGAAAAGGGCTTGTTATGACTAATAAGACCCTCCTTTCACCTCATGGCTCTGGAGTTATTTTTCAGGAATTGATGACAACAGACCAAATACTATTGGTCTTAGGATGTTCGGAAATCTCAAGGGTTTTGGGTGCTCTGTGCCAGTAACGGGACAAAGACCAAACATATATTTATTATGAATCACAGCATCACACCTGTGAACAACTTTCCTCTGATGGAAAGGACTTCCGATTGGGAGCTAAGAATCTGATTCTAGTCTCAACCCTGCTCCCTCAGTTTGACCTGATGGTCTAGCTGGGGCCTCTTTCTTTATCTGTACAACTTGGTTTTTCCTGGGAAATAAATGATCAGTGATGTTCCCTTGTAGTCCTTGTTGGGTGGCTGCTTCCCAGCCCTTTAGCTGTAACTCCTCTCCTTTCCTGCAATCGATGAATCACATTGGGATTTAGGGATTGGCTAATGCTGTTATTGCGATAACCATGACTCTGTTCTAAGTTATCAGGAAAGTGAAGGATGTGTGGGGTGTAAGGTTTTTTATTAGTAACAAATCACTTTAACACCTACCAGTGTCTGTGTCAGGGCCTGATCCAGACCTCATTGCATCCGTCCTGGCCTGCCCACAGCCCTGGGCCCTCGGCCTGCAGACAGAGTGCTGACTTAGCAAGTTTAAAGTAGACATATCCTGTAGTCACTTCAATTGTTGCAAAACTGGTATTTTGAGTCAGAAAAGAAAGTGAGCCAACCTCTGAAGAAAATGAGACAATCTTCTAGTGCAGCGGTTCTCAACCTGTGGGTCGCGACCCCTTTGGCAGTCGAGCGACCCTTTCACAGGGGTCGCCTAAGACCATCCTGCATATCAGATATTTACATTATGATTCATGACAGTAGCAACATTACAGTTATGAAGTAGCAACGAAAATAATTTTATGGTTGGGTCACAACATGAGGAACTGTATTTAAAGGGCCAGAAGGTTGAGAACCACTGTTCTAGTGGCTGGTCATTCTGTGGAATGCTATTTGATATAAATATAGGTTTATTTGCAGGGAACAGGCATGAGGGCAGGTCCAAGGTTGCCTGAGTAAGGCCACGTGGAGAGGAAAGACATTGGTGAAGGGGTGGAATTCTCCTGTCCTAGAGCAGCTAACAGTCCACACAAACTCCCAACCTTTTTATCTATTTCATAAGAAATGTCACTTATGAAATTAGATATTACCAGCATCTAGTAAAATTGTACATGGAACATTCTGATTGAAAATTAATAGAAGAGCCAAATCTTCACAATAGCTTCTTAATAGTATTGGATCTTTTGGTAGAATGGAAAAATATCCATTGAAAATAATTTCAATAAAAGTAAAATGGGGGGAAATTGGAAATAGTTTCTCGGTGTTTATAAAAATAGCCCTGGCAGTGCTCAGTGGTTGGAGTGTTGGCCCGAGTACTGAAGTGTCTTGGGTTCGATGCCCAGCAAGAGCACATCCTTGGGTTGCAGGTTTGATCCCCAGACCCGGTCAGATGCATGTGGAGGCAACCAATCTGTATGTCTCTCACATGGATGTATCTCTCTCTCCCTCTCTCTCTCTCTCTCTCTCTCTCTCTCTCTCTCTCTCTCTCTCTCCTCCCCCACTCTCCCTTCTCTCCCCCCTCCCCAATGTTCTCCCCTCCCACCCCACCCCTCCCTTCCACTCTCCTTGAGTGAGGATTAACAACAAAAATAGTTTATAAAAAAATAAGTCAAGGGACTGTTTGCTTCATGAAGTTCAGCTCAGAAGATTCTCAACTGAAATCTCCAGTACTGATGGAATTCTGATGAAACCCCTTGGGTGTGTAAACAGTCCACACTTGGGAAAAGAACCCTGTGTTTGCCTGGTGTTGTGAAACAGCTGTTACTCTCAGTGGCATATGGCCAAGGCACACAAGACATTTGGGAGCACTCTGGCTTGCACACTCAGAGGACAGCTGCCTTAGCCCAGGGAGGCAAAGGTGCTCTGAGTGAGGGATGGCGATGCTGATGACAGTAGGAATTACTCCCACAGGGCACCCAACCTAGTGGTTCGAGGGCTGTGAAGTGGAAGGGTGTTCAATGCTTTGTTGTTCAAATACAGATTATTTAGTTGCTCTGATTTGATGCCTGTCTATTCCCATTGCCCCTTAGACCCCCTTAGAAAAGTGCCTAAAAGAAAATAAAACTCAAATTAGCAGTCGGTGACTTCTGATAAACTTCAATGCGGAGCATATGACTGGGAGAGCACTAGTAAAAAATGGGAATCGGGGGCTGTGATAAAATAACAAAATTTTGGGTGATTTAATGAAGGAGGAATCAAGTCTAGGATATATCTAGATTTAAATTCTCCATGTCAACTCTGGCCCCACATGGCCATAGTCATTTAAGAGTATCTACATTTATAATGAATATACTTAGTTTAGAGAAAACATTTCATCCTGTTTTCCTCTTTTTCAGGTTTCAAGTGCCCCATTTGCTCCAAGTCTGTGGCTTCCGATGAGATGGAAATGCACTTTATAATGTGTCTGAGCAAACCTCGCCTCTCCTACAATGGTAAGCGCTTGGCTGGGAGCTTCTGAGTGAGGTCTTCCCAACCTCACGTGCCTCTGGGCAGCATTTCCACCCACCTTCCGGCAGGAATAGTCAGGGAACACCTGACTGTTAGCAAGTCTTGCTGCGCCAATCAGAGGCGAAGAGCAGTGGGACCAGGAAGGCAGGCCCAGGGATCAGGGCTGTGGTACCAGGAAGTCTCTTGGTTCACTCAGTCCCACTGCCCTTTCTTCCAACCCCTTGGTTCCTTGGACCTCTGGTTGGGTGATAGAGCTCTGCCCATTCTCACACCTGACAGCAGAGGGTGTGACCTCTCCTTGGGGGACGGGGAGTTTGTGCCAGTGGTTTGCATGGAGTGCTTAAGCCCTGATTCTGCCCGGCAGAAGGGTGCAAGATGTGGACACCCTTAGGGAATAAAAACATTGAGCTGCCACCTGGTCATTCCTACCATGGAGCCTGCCTCAGAGCTGAGCAGTGAATACACGGGTTGGAAACTGGGCCAGGGATTCCATGAAACCCACATCCCCCTAAGTGGCACCTCTGTGGACAAAATGAGTGTCAGCATCTGCCTGGTATGCCATGGATAAGGATTTGGAGCCTGGCTGATCTGAGTTCAAAGCCTGCTGCAACCACTTACTGACTATTATCCTAGACAAGTTGCTCAGTTTAGCAGAGCCTAGGTTTTCTGGTCCATAAAATAGTGACATCAATACCTGGTTCATAGGATTTTTGTCAGGATAAAGTAAGATATCCTATATAATAAAAGGCTAAAATGCAAATTGTCCCCTCAACTGAGAGTTCGACCAGAGGGCGGGGCCAGCTGGCCAACCGCCCACGCCCTCCCCGATCAGCCTGATGGGGTGGGCCAGACCCCACCGTGCACTAATTAGTGCCCCAGGCCTCTAGTTACACATAAAACCCTTCAGCACAGAGCCTGGCACATGGTCAGTGCTCAGGAAGTTACAGCAGCCCTGAAAGAGGTGAGGCCATCCTAGGTTTCTTTTCATCATTTTGTGGAGTGGACTGACTTCTGTTCAGTGCTGCTAGTGGCTCTCTGGTTTTCCATTCTTTTTTCTTTTTTTAAAAAAATTCATTTAAGAGAGAGAGGGAGAGAGAGATAGAAACATCAATAATGTGAGAGAAACATTGGTTGACTATCTCCTGCACGGTCCTCCCCCCTCCCCCCCACTGGGGATCGAGTTGCAACCCGGGCATGTGCCCTGACCGGGGATTGAACCTTGATCGCCTGGTTCATGGGTCTACGCTCAACCCCTGAGCCACACCAACCGGTTAGTGGTTTTCCATTCTTATGTGCTTAGTTTGGTCTTCCAACCATGTTCATCAGAGAACTGTGTTCTCTACAAGAACAGGCATTGGATCTGAGTGGGACACACCCCGACCCTGGCACTGGACCCGCTTCTAGGATTAAAGTCACAGCAGTGCTTAGGAAAGGAGTTCTGTGACCTCTCAGGGAATCTGAGGACTGGACAGGAGATGAGCCTGGATTGCTTTGCCCCATCCTCATGGTGAAAGTTTCCTGGGTAGACTCTTTACAGACTTGTCCTTGGGCTCCTGCCTCCTCGGATCCCCATGCCCTCCTTTCTCCACCCAGCATTAGCCCAGGGAGGCCTGGTGATTCCAGATTTTTTCTGTGAAATGAACCTGAAAAATCTAACCCACTCAATTCTCCTGAAAACACATCCTAATGTTCTCATCTCTTCTTTATTTGCTCAGCGAAAGGCTCTGGGTGCACATGTGCGGGATGGTTACTTGCTGTCTCAGCTACACGCAGTCTGGTAGGAGGCCCAGCCGCAGGAGGTTCTGGCCCTATCTCTGTCCCCTTCGTATTCTCCTGGTGTCCAGGAAGCCCTTCTTCTCTCCAGTGGACAGCCTCTCCCTGTCCCTGGGGATGACGGCTGCAGTGTTTGAATCAGTTGTCATGCGCACTCTGGGCTTTGCGGTGGAGTTGTCAGTGTGCGTCCCTTGGAGGCTGCTCTAGCTCCTCTTTGTCCTGTTCCTTGTCTCTGCCTGGGACCACAGTGGAGAGGAGTCTTCTCCCCAGCCATGGCCTCAGAAACTGTGTTCGCTTATTTTCCAAACTGCACAGAGCCCGATGAAGACCGCTTTTTGTCCCGTGGGTTGCTGGGAAGAGATCTCTGTAGACACTGACTGTGTCATAAGAACACAAAGCAGCCTCAGAGTGGGCTCACCCGAGAGGGATTGGCTCCTGGTGTCATCAAGGATGCCTGTGCAAAGGCAGCTGTGGAGGACAGAGTGCTCTTGGGGCCACCTGAGAACGGGGTACCACTGGTCCCATTTGGAGAATGGGGAAGAGGAGGGGCTTGGGCTCTATCCTGGAGAACTGCTGTGCTGCTCATTGGTCTCCTCTCTGCTGCAGCCATGGGGAAGGGTCTCCTTTCCTTCACCTTCATCTCCATAGGAGAGCAGGCTTGGCAGCCACATGTGGTCTGAGCACAGGTCACCCGCAGAAGCCGCACTCAGAGTCTGAGTCCCCTTAGAGGACGAGGAGGTTGGCCGGCCAGCCTGAGACATCACTATGGCTGTCCCCATTTTTTCCCTCCTCCTCTAATTGAAAAGCCACCTCCTCAGGGAGTGTGTGTGTGTGTGTGTACACGCGTGTTAGAGACTTTAAGCTCAAGGATCTCCTTTGCAAAAGCCAGTGTTTTACCACGAGAGGCAAAGTGAGGGCATGTTGCATGGGTCCTATTAGTGGAATTGGTCATAAGGTAATGAAGGTGCTTCAGAAACAGTGGTCTGGCCCCTCTGTGTCACTGTTAGTGTGGAAGGAGGCTTGTGACTGGACTCCTCATATTGTCTTTCCTTTCTGACGACACCTAGACCTTCCAGGTAAGAAGGCGTTGGCCACCTGGGTTTGTACATGCAGTGGGAGTCTCCAGGGCTGGCCTAGGTCCTGTTCTTGTTCAGATAAAGCATGGGCCTTTCAGGGTCCACAGGCCAAAGCCCCAGGCAGGACCTCTAGATACTTATTTTGGTTTTGCCAGTAACATAATCTTACCCAGAATTCCTTATCATACCAACCTCCCAGCTTCACTTTACCTTTTCTGATTAAAAAAAGTGAGGAGACTTAAAGAGTCTGAAGTATAGAACTCTCAGAATCTTTCTGGAAAGGGGGCAGGGTGAGACTTTCCCAGTTAGTTATAGAGAGAAATGCTATTTTCTTATGAAGATTCACTAGAATGCCTGCTCACTGCCCTGGAGGTCTCCCCTCTACACTCACACATACACTTTCTGTAATTGCTGGCACTAGTTGGGGATTTTTAAAGAAAATTTACAGTGGTTATAAAAGATGAAATTTAGTTAACCACCAAAGGAAAAAAAAGTAGAAACCTCCTAAATGAGGCAGACAGAAAGTCCAGGAAGCGCAGAGAATCCCAAACAAAAGGAATCCAAGGAGGACCACACCAAGACACATCATAATTAAAATGCCAAGAGCAAAAGATAAAGAGAGAATCTTAAAAGCAGCAAGAGAAAGACAGTCAGTTACCTACAAGGGAGTACCCATACGACTGTCAGCTGATTTCTCAACAGAAACCATGCAGGCCAGAAGAGACTTCAAAGTGATGAATAGCAAGAACCTGCAACCAAGATTACTTTATCCAGCAAAGCTATCATTCAGAATAGAAGGTCAGATAAAGAGCTTCACGGATAAGAAAAAGCTAAAGGAGTTCATCACCACCAAACCAGCATTATATGAAATGCTGAAAGGTATTCTTTAAGAAGAGGAAGAAGAAAAAGGAACTCTTACCATTTGCCACAGCATGGATGGAACTGGAGAGTGGATAAATACCACATGACCTCACTCATTTGTGGAATATAATGAACAACATAAGCTGATGAACAAGGACTGATCCAGAGACGGAGAGACATTGATTGGACTGTCGGGACTTGGAGGGAAGGTAGGGGAGGGTGGGGGTAAGGGGGAAAGATCAACCAAAGGACTTATATGCAAGCATATGGGCCTAATCAATGGACATGGACAACGGGGGGGTGGGGGGTAGAGGGTAACGTGGGGACAAGGACACATATGTAATATCTTAATCAATAAAAAATATATAAAAAGAAAAAAAGAAAAATAAATAAAATTTAAAAAAAAAAAAAAAAAAAGAAAATTTACAGTGGTTATAAAAGATGAAATTTAGTTAACCACCAAAGGAAAAAAAGTAGAAACCTCCTAAATGAGGCAGACAGAAAGTAGTATTTTTCTTATTATGAGGGTTGGCCTGAGCAGTAGGTTGGAAGGCCTCCAGTAGCCGCCTGCCAGATTAAAAAACACACCAAACACTTTAGTAAAGACAAGACTAGTTCAACTGGTTTGCCCAGTGCTCAAGAGAAATGCAAAGACCTGTAACCTGTGCTGGGGCAGGTGCTAACCCCCTGCTGGAGGGTCAGGGAGGCCACCAGACCCCAGAGCACTGATGTAACATCTCTCATGCTCCTCTTCCAGGGCAGCTTGGAACCCAGGACTCCTGGGAGATAAGGAAGGAGTTGGAGAGACCCATTTTTGTGGGTAAATGTGGTCAGCTTGAATGGGACTTGTAACTTCTCTCCCTTTCCAACATCTGTTTGTGGTTCTGAGACTGGGGGGGGGGGGGGGGGGGTTGCCCTCAAGAGTATGTACTCAAATTTTGACTAACAAATTGCTCAGCTAGCAGAGTGAGCCTCAAGATGGGGAACCTGATTTTGCTGTGAACAGATGAGAGTCGGATACAGGGGTGAGGGGAGGCGTGACAGATGACTGACTGCCCACTGAAAGCATAGGAGGCCCTGGTTCCAGGACCAGCCAGGGGCTCTTGGCCCTGGGAACTTCTGGTGTGTGGCGGGTTCCATTGCCATTGGTATCAGGAGAGCTTGGTGGTGCTCAGAGCAGCTTCAGGAGATTCTTCTCGGCCTTTTTAATTTTTTAAATATGTTTGTATTGATTTTTAGAGAGAGAAGGAGAGGGAGAGGGAGAGAGAGAGAGAGAGAGAGAGAGAGAAACATCAATCAGCTGCCTCCTGCATGCCCCCTACTGGGGATCGAGCCAACAACCCAGGCATGTGCCCTGACCCAGAATCAAACCGGCAACCGGTGCATGGAACAACATTCAACCAACTGAGCCACACCGGCTAGGGCTCCCTCAGCTTTCTTTGGGAATGCAGACCCCATGCCCTGCTCCTTCGAGATCCTGACTGCCCTTCCTCTCATCTGCCAAAGGTCATTGCCCCCAACTTCAGGCCTCTTGAAATACTGAATGTCACACAAGGTTTAAAGGAGAGGGAATTGGGTTCCTCTCAAAGCAGGAATACCTGCTGCTAGTTTACCTCTAGCTGAGCCAGCAGACCTGAGCACGTGGTGCTCTGTGGGCCCGTGTCTCTACTGAGGCCTGTATTTGGAATGAAAATGCCTTTTCTTGGGTCTGGGGAAGCCAGGTTGTGGCGGAGGGTTTGCCTAGCCCAGTAGGGCGCTGCCAGGAGCCGTTGTTAGATGCTGTAGCAGCTGCTGAGTCTGGCTGCAGAGGTGTCTGGCCTGGTGTTCCTCCTGCAGGAGGGAAAGGAGGAGGGTGCTCCCAGCAGCCGCTGATTGACAGGCCAGGCTGCTGGGTGAGTGAGGAGTGGGGTGGGTGGGAAGGGCGCCAAAGGAGGGGACTGAGTGGGGTGGTTGTGGGAGCTTCTGTAAATCGAAACCTGGCCTTAGCTTTAGTGGTTCACTCTTCTGGGGTGTTGCCATTGCAGCCCACCTCGCCAAAAAATTGGATCACACCTCACAGTCCTGGGCTATTGGGGTGAGGATGATGGTAGGGGAACTCACTCTGCTAAGTCTCCCCTTTGCCCAGAGATTCCGCAGGAATGGAGCTGGCAAGTCTTTTTTATTATTATTATTGATTTCAGAGAGGAAGGGAGAGGGAGAGAGAGATAGAAACGTCAATGATGAGAGAGAATCATTGATTGGCTCCTCCTGCATGTCCCCTCCTGGGGATTGAACCCGCAACGCAGGCATGTGCCCTTGACTAGAATCGAACCTGGGACCCTTCACTCCGCAGGCCAACAAACACTCTATCCACTGAGCCAAACCAGCCAGGGTGAGCTGACAAGTCTTGGCGTTGGTGACACTGCCCCTTCCTGTCCCCCAAGAGATTGGGCCAGCAGCGTGGTGCATGCTGAGAGGCTGCAAGACCAAGCTTTCTGCACCTCGGCTGGAGATGCAGGGGGTGGAGCCTGGTCTCTGTCATTTGCTGGGGTTCTCCCTCTGGCTCCCACCTCTCTTCCTACCAAGGCCTTGCCTGGCATCGGGTACAAGGGGAAAACATATTGTACAGTCCCACACTCAGCTGCTGGCTGTGAGCTGCACATCAGCCTTCCCTCCTGGCTGCTGGCAGAAATCTATCTATAGCTGTTTGGGCTTCCCTACCCCCTCCTTGTCACCAGCAGTTCTGGGGTCTCATTTTGCCTCTAGAGAACTTTGCCTACCACTCTGGTTTGGTTCCCTGGTCTGGTTGGAGGGATAGGCATTGGAACTATTTTGCACCACCCCCAGTCAGGCCAAACACACTTCCAGAGCAGTGATGTTGACCTTGCACAGGATGTCAGGATGCTTGGAAGGGGGTTGGGAGGTGGTAAGAGAAAGGCAAAAAGCACAGCTTTGTTCCTGTGTACTCATCTACTGGCATTGGCTGAGCCCCTCCTCGGGACCTGGGGATGCCAAGGGGCATTTGAGTCCATGTGCAGAGCAGCCTCAACTTGTGCCAGGCCCAGTGTCCTTGCTTTGTGCTGTGAGGTCCTCCAACAAGTGGGCAGCAAGCTCCCATCTGAGAGGGTGAAGTCTTACAGGAATCAGTTGATAGCCAAGCTTCCGCTTCAGTCATTTCCCCTTTCCTGCTTGGCTCCCACAGACATCTGGGGGCCGCTGATTTCCAGGGCCCCAGGGATTGGGACAGGAAGTTTTACTCAACCCACTCAGGCATGTTCCTGCCTTCCATCGTGGGAAGAAGGCTGCTTCCCTGGGCTCTGTGCTGGGTGTGAGCACCGCTGGCTTCCCCACGCCGTCAAGTTCCAAGCCCCATCCCAGCAACCTCAGGCAGCCTTCGGGTTTACCGACAGAGAAAATGACCAGATTGTCTGGTGGCCAAGAAGCTGAGAGTGGCTGTTCTCACAGCTCATGTGCACAGGAACTGATGTATCTTGGGTTTTTTATCTTGGCTTTTCCCCCCAGGCTTCCTGGTGAGGGGCTTTGAGTCACCATAGCCTTCTAGGCCCTGAGGAATCCTCATTTTAGAGGCTCCAGATGTTTCTCTTTACACCCAAGTAATCAGAGGGCATGGACAAACAGCAGCGGAGAAGGGCACCAATTGGGTCCCCCGTCTGCACGTCCTTTCGTGAGCCCTGTGACTTAGGCAAGATGTCTGACTTCAGGCTTCAGTCTCTTCGTAAAGTGAGAACAACACATGTGCCCTGCCTGGCTCCTAAGATTGTGAGGCTGAAGTGAACACACACACAGGAAATCTCAGTATGTCTCATGGACAACGTCCACGAACAGTTAAAATCTTAGTAGTGGAGAACTGGTCCTGTTTTAAGCTCTCTGAGTTTTTCTCCTGTGGCTTTGAGAACTGGGTAACCTTTGCTTACTTCACCTCTTTCACCGGCCTTTCAGATATTAAAGTTGACCTAGGTTTGTATTCTGCCTTCTTTAGGTTTCATTCTAAACTTTCTCCCCAGTTGATCTCTATGTCTCATGTATAACCTGTCACCCACATCTCTCTTCTAAACCCCAGATGGTTGGAGCGTCAGCCCAGACACCAAGAGGTGGCAGGTTCAATTCCTGGTCACCTCATGGCCCAGGAGTCTGCACCTGCCATAGCAAACCTCCTGCAGGTCCCAGGTGTGCAGATATTGTTCTCTTTGCCTGGAATATCCTTCCCTGAACAGTCCCCACCCCAGCTAGACATTTTTCATACCCCTCATACCTGGGCCTGTATGCATAAGACTTCCTAGAAATTGCTGTGCTATTCATTTCCGTTTTCTTGTTCAGCCTCTCCTGCTAGACTCTGAGCTTCTCACATCCTGAGTTCGTGGCTTATTCACTGAGTCACTAGTGCCCAGAATGTCGTAGAAATCTAGTAGAGGACTGCTGACGCGGCTGCGGCGCTCTTCCTGTCCTGCTCAGCTTTTGTTGGGGCCCATGGTGTGCAGTGGCTTCCTTCCATTCTCTCTTTTCTTTCTTTTTTTTTTGGGGGGGGGGGGTGTCTTTTTTTTTCTTTTTTTTTAAAAATTGAATTTTACAATTTAGTTGTATTTAGAACATTCACAGCATTGGACAACCCCATGTCTGTCTAGTTACAAACATTTTCATCACCCCCAAAGGAACCCTCCTACATGATTCTACTTATATGTCATATTTAAGATAGTCCACCTCATAGAACCAGGGCATGAATGGAATAATGCGTGCCAGAGGCTGAGGGGAGAGGGGAATGGGAGTTGCTACTCAATGGGTATAAAGTTTCAGTTATGCAAGGTAAGTTGTAGAGATGTACAACACTGTACCTATAGTTAAGAATGTACTATACATTGCCGAAACCGGTTTAGCTCAGTGGATAGAGCGTCGGCCTGTGGACTGAAAGGTCCCAGGTTCGATTCCGGTCAAGGGCATGTACCTGGGTTGCGGGCACATCCCCAGTAGGAGATGTGCAGGAAGCGGTTGATCGATGTTTCTCTCTCATCGATGTTTCTGACTCTCTCCCTTCCTCTCTGTAAAAAATCAATAAAATATATTATAAAAAAAAAAAAGAATGTACTATACACTTAAAAATATGTTAAGGCAGATCTTATGTTAAGTGTTCTTACCACAAAAAAGAAAACAGAAAACCCCTTAGCATTAAACAGTCACTCCCGCCCTGGCCGGTTTGGCTCAGTGGATAGAGCATCGGCCTGCAGACTCAAGGGTCCCAGGTTCGAGTCTGGTCAAGGGCATGTACCTTGGTTGCGGGCACATCCCCAGTAGGGGGTGTGCAGGAGGCAGCTGATCGATGTTTCTCTCTCATCGATGTTTCTGGCTCTCTATCCCTCTCCCTTCCTCTCTGTAAAAAAATCAATAAAAAATATATTAAAAAAAAGTCACTCCCCATTCCCTCCTGCTCTTGACCCCTGAACTACTTTTTGTCTCTATGAATTTGCCTATGCTGGACATTGCATGTAATGAATTGTATAATAGATGGCCTTTTGTGTCTGGCTTCTTCAAAAATAGCATATTTTTGAGGTTCATCCACACTGTAGCATGCTTTGGTTCTTTGTTCCTTTTCATGGCTGAGTAATATTCCATTGCACAGATACATCACATTTTGTTTGTCTGTTCATTAGTTGGTGGACATTTGTTTCCACCATTTGGCTCTGGTGAATAGTGCTGCTATGGATGTGTATGTACAAGTATTTGTGAGAGTACCTGCTTATTCCATTCATTTTTGCCGTGTATGACTATACCACACTAGTCATCACCATATTTTTTCAAACCAGAAATCAGTGCAGTTGGTCTGTGGGGAAAGTCTATTCAGGGAAATACTTTGTCTAATGCTGCCTCTGCTACACATCTATCCCTCTCCAAGCCCCCTAACTCTCTAGCCCCAGGCCACTTATTTGGTATGTAATCCCATTTTGTCTTCACATCATTAATGTGTGATATGCATGCCTTATCTCTGCAGTGAAGGCCTTCAGGTCCAGGGCCACTTGGGCTTCTGTGTCCCCCACAGTGCCCTGTATATGTTGGGTGACCAGAGCAGTTTCAACCAGTTCTAGACCCGTGCCTGCTTTGTGCCACCTGTCTGCTGGTGACTGACCCTCCTCCACTCTCCCATTTCCCTCTGCAGACGACGTGCTGACTAAAGACGCGGGCGAGTGTGTGATCTGCCTGGAGGAGCTGCTTCAGGGAGACACGATAGCCAGGCTGCCCTGCCTGTGCATTTACCACAAAAGGTACCAGAGGGGGCAGGGCCAGCTCAGCCACATCCCAGATCCCACAATGGAGAGAGAAGGCAACCCTCCTCACTAGCCATTCTGTTTTCTTTGGTTGAGGGACAACTCTTCCCCCTCCCCATGCCCCATTCCTGGGATATGAGTGGGGTTGAGACAGAGGCTGGCAGATGTGCTGAGTATAGGGTCGAGCCAGATGGCCAGAGATTTTGCTCTGGGTTGATGACGGCCTGGCTGGCTGCTGGGTGATGGGGAGACCTGTGGAGCTCCACAGGTTGGAGGTGCTTAGGATCCCACAGAGCCAAAGATTCCTTTCTTTGGAAATTTGATTCTTTATCCATCTCCCCAGCCTTTTCTTCCTCTGTGGGCCCCTCTGCTCCTGCAAAGTGAGGCCCCTTGTCTGTGCGAGAGAGGCAGCATGGAGGGGTGTGCTTGCTGCCCCTGCATCCGCCCCTAGTCCCCAGGCCAGGAGGCAGGAATAGCCAACCTTTGGGGCCAGGCACTGAAGCTGTTATAATTAGAAGGGCTGAGATTTGTCCTCAGGCTCCAGATGAGCCTCGTTCTTGTTTCCAACTGGAAAGAAGACACCTCCCTACCCAAGACGGAGGACGCTCTGTGCTGCCTGTGGCCACCACCTGCTCTTGGCTCCTCGAGCCTCAGAGCTTCTTCCTGACACATGGGCTTTTCCAAAGCCTGACTCACAGGGCCACTGGCCACAGGGCAATGGTGGTGCCGGCTCGCAGATGTGGCTGATGCAGGGGAGGCTCAAGGTTGGCCTGGAGCAGGGGGTCTTGGTCCAGGGCCAGCACAGAGTGCTCCAGTTTCCTGGCCAGGCACCAACCAGAACCAGAGAAGGAAATCTTTGATTCTGGGGAGAATTATGCAAATTACCTGTCTGGATCCTGTCTTTGAAAATACCCAGATGTTAGTTTACAAATCAGAAAGCTGTCTTGGGGCAATCTCTGTTCCCTCTTTGATTCAGGCAGTTCTTTCTGTAAACACCAGGGTTTCACTGTCTGGCTCTCCTTAGCAGTGTCACTAAGCCAGAGGGCTGTCCTTCTCTGGGATATTGGCTGTTAACCACAGCCAACCGAACCAGGTAGCTCAGGGGTCTCCTAAGAAGTCAGCCCCTAGAGAGGGATCCTCGAAGCTGTTCCTTTGAGCCAGGAGAGGGCTCCCTCAGGTCCCCAGAGCTCAGAGTAATGGCCAGCCTTCGAGCCTTAGGGATAGCTGGCTAGCTGCCCTGCACTCCTCCCCTACTCACTAGTAGCTGTTGCCACCGCCTAGGTCCATGCAGGTAAGACCTTGATCCTTCTCAAGGCTGCAGTTCACCCTTCTAACATCCAGATGCACCCAGTCCTGTGCCCCCCATGCCAGGTTGGCTGCCCGGGCTGAGCCAAGATCAATCTTGGTGTTTGCCTTCTTCCTGCTTCAAAAAGTGGGTATCTGGGGACAGGCTTGTTTTCTCCTGGGGTCCTCGCAGGCAAGATTTAGGAAACCCCTACTCAGAAATCTGACCCTTGGAGCGAGCCCCCTAAGGCGCAGCCTGGTCAGCGGTAACGTGTCTCCCCTTGCCACTTCCTGCCTCAGCTGCATAGACTCGTGGTTTGAAGTGAACAGATCTTGTCCAGAACACCCTGCGGACTGACCCTGCTGGGCTCGCTTGCTGACTCCTCTCAAAGGTGAGCCGGTGGTTGGGGTGCTCTGGGCTCAGGGATTGGGATCTGGCCACTCTGGGGCCTGGGGGTGGGGACTGAGTTGCCCTTACATACCTCCAGGAGGGGAGCATCTTATCAGTTAGTAGTTCTATGGTGGGTTGGAGGGCGGGGAGCATTCTGGGAAGGCGAAGAGATGCTATCTTGCATGGTTATGAAAAAAAAACCACCTGCTCAGTACAGTTGATTCTTTGAGGAAAGACCAGTCTATTCCAGACGTCTAGGGCGAATCTCCCTGAAGAAGGTTCAGGAAGAGCCCCTTGGAATGTGCCAGGTGGGAGAAGCCGCATGAGCTTGAGCCCCTGGGCTTGCACCTGCCTGTGCTTGCTGAGTGGCTAGGGAAGTCCTCACTCCTCGTCCCCTGTGGACAGTTTGTGGGACGGTGCATTGTCCCCTGTGGCACTCACCAGCCATCGTTCCACTGCTGGTGCTTCCCGCTTCAGGCCACCTCCCTCATGCACACTGCCAGATGGGTCTGAGACCTCCAGGCCAGACTCAGCCCCCACCCCACCCCCACACACAGCACAGGTCCTGGTTCCACAGCAAGCCCGCAGCTACCTTCCTCCCCACACTGTGCACACACGTCCCCTGTAGAACCTTCCGGTCTGACCTCTCCCTTTCTCCCCAGGGCTCCCTGCTTCCCTGGTGACCATCCTCTCCTGTCCCCTCCAAGTTCTGGGCTGGTACTTTATTTTACCAGGGAACCCAAAACCCTGACTCCACCTCCACTCACATCCAAAAGTTTGGGGGCCTCTTTCTCTCTCTTGTTTTTTTGTTTTCTTTTGTGTTAGGTTTGTTTTATTTATTCCAAGTAAACTTCCAGAACAGCTGATGATGGCAGACAAATCAGGGACATTTGCTCTTTTTACCTTCACCTGAAAAACTGAGGACATGGGGAGAAGAAACAGTGAGGGTGAGAGTGAGGCAGAGGGAGTGGAGCCTGGCGCTGGAGTGCGAGTCCAAATTCCCGGCATGATATTTGCCTTCTCGGGCCCCGGACTGGAACCACAGGCGCCCAGCCCGTCCTCAGCCGGACACACAGGCTGGCTTCAGCCCGGCGGGAGCACGACTTCCGTATTGTGGTCCACACAGGACAGCCAGCCCTCTTCCTGAGAGGAGGCTTCGGACACTGGGGCAGAGCTGAGCTGGGGACACCAGTGGGAACAGGGCACCCTACGCACTGACTTCCAGAGAATGGTTCTCCCTTTCTCCCTGAGGACACCAAATTGGATGAGCCATGAGTTTGAGAGAAGAAAGAATCGACCGCCCTCCTTCCCCTCACCCCTCATCCTAGGAGGGAAAGGGCATTTTCTTTCTCACCTTTGAAAGGCATTGTGGGTCTGTCTCTAACGTGTTTACAAAAAAAAATCATAAAAAAAAAGTTTAGTGTCGACTGGTGTTTTCGCCCGTGATGTTTACAGATTGCTGTCTGCTGCCCGGCTAGAACCCACCCAATGACAAAGGGACAGAGCCAGGTTCAGTGCTGATGGTGCGAGAGACGCTCGCTCGGCCCTCCTGGCCCAGCGCCCCGTCGGTTCGGCCCTCGCCATCAACAACCGCCCGGCCTTGGTTTTCTTTGCCCATTTTCCTGGCTTGGTTTTGCACTTTTCTCCCCTTGGGACCCTGAGATCTTGACTTCATTGCCAAAAAAAACAACCCTTGGAAGACCTCCCCCTTCATTCCTGATTCTTCTCCCTCCTTTCCTCCTGGTTCTGGTCAGTTCAGAGGACTTCACAATCACAAGTGTCCTGCAAAAATGCCTGAACATTTTTCTTAGGCCCTTGTGGATTTTTTTTCCTGAAAACTTAAACAAACAGAAGACTTATTAAAGGAACATGTACAGCTACCCGTTTTCAGGCACTCTGTTTGAGAACATTTTAGCCATTGATGTTCACACTTGGCATCAGCCCATGCAAGATAGGTTTCTGTATTTATATATTAAAATACAAAAAAACACCACCCTTATAAAATGTTTTAAAAAATGTTCGAAGTTGGGGGCAAAGCTTTCTTCATTAGTCAAGATGTTTTGATATGGTATTAAAATCATGTCTAATAAAAGATGCATTGTGTGACTTTATTTTAATGGTGCTGTTACACAATCCGGAAATGGGCGTTGTGCACCTGTCTCCCACTTCCTCCCCCCTCACCTCCTTAGCCTGCCTTGAGGGTAATACTTGCTACTGCACGTGTGATGGGGTTTTCAGAGCAGTCGTGCCTGGGTAGAGGGAACGTGGCAATCAGACCCCAAACCCAGAGGTTCACTAACCCGTCAAGCATCATGGAATCAATCTGCCGTCACCTGTGGAACGGTTGTGACAAAACACCTCTGCAAGATCTGCAGGGGCAACGATCTCGCAGCCGCTGGAGGCTACAAGGATGTGGGTTCTTCCAGCGCCCCACCCCCTGCCCCCCTCATCCTCCGTTCCCCATCCCACGTCCTGCCTGCCTGTTGCTCAGTCCATGCTCAGTGCTGACTCATGGGCATGCTTCATTGAGGCCCAGAGACAGGCCCTGTTTTGGGGCTAAGCCAGCTCAGAGCCACTCAGGGCTCACAAGAGTTGGCACAACTTGGGCTGGGCGGGAAGCTCCGGGCAGTGGATAGCACTGCACAACCGGCCTCTATCCCTGTGCCAGACAGGCTGCCGGAGCAGCATTCCGGAGCCCCCTGCAGAGCCTGCGAAGGACCGCCCTGGAGGGAGGTGGCTCCAACCTCTGCCCCTCTCAGGCCTCTGTGGGCTCTAACCCCACCAGGCCCTGGCTCTGCAGCCAGCTTCCATCAGACACTTCCTGAAGCACCTACTCTGCAAGGGCATGGCAAGGCCGTGAGCTAAGGGACAGGCACACAGTGTGTTCAGAAACATATGAAAGAAGAGTATGTGTCTGAGCTGGGCCTTGGAGTCAGACCCTCCTGAAGCAGAGACCCCCAGGACCAGTGATCACCATGGTGGCCAGGATGTGGGCTCAGAACTGTCTGCATGTGGCTCCTCTACTTGGCAGAATGATCTTGGGAAAATGACTTCACTCATCTAAACTTCAGATTCCTCGCATGTGAAGCGACAAAGTCTTGCAACTCTGAGGTCACCGTGAGGGTCAGAGTCTGCCCAGAAGCCCCTGGCACATGCACAGCAGGCTCTCCCGTAGCTCCCTCACCACAAAGAGCATTGTTCTATTCACAGCACCGCCTGCTTCTGCCTGGCAACTGTGTCTCCCTGTTCTATATTTAATTCCTCCAGCAAAGCTCGCCCTGAAGGAGATCTCCTTGCCTGACCCCTGGGCCGCAGGCAGAGGGCTGTATGCCCACCTCAGTTGCTTAGGCCTGGCGGCTTTGGCAACATCCTGTGAGCCAGGTGGGCAGGGCTGGAGCCCACACCAGGTGCTATTCCAGGCTCCTGGGGCTGATGCTAACTCCTCTCCTCACCCCCAATGACTTTCACTCCCAGCTGGCACACTGCAGCCCTCTGCTGACTACTGGATCCTCCGAATCCAGACCTAGATTGCCAGGTCCTGGGTGGGGGTGGGCCAGGGGTGTGTGGGCTTCCCAGGTAGAACTGATGTCTGTCATCCTCCATCCAGACAGCTCTCAGAGGGGAGAGGGGGGAGGGGCAGGAGCTGGGAGGGTGGGTTCCACCCACTGTCTTTGGGGGCTTCCTGGTCAGGAGCTCCTCACTAGTGTAAAATCATCTAGTCGCATTTAATGTCGTTGAGATTTATAAAATGTCCTTATTCTTATGAGACAGATGGTGAGTTATGTAGGTGAATGATGTCGAAAAATATGTAAATTTCAAATGGGTTTCTCCAAAATACACCCAACAAATAAGACAGAAATATTCCTTGTTGAATCTCCAATGGCTGGTATGTCAGTGAACAGTGTACTTGTTTTTTTTAACTCTTCTGTATGTTTGGAATTTTTTCCTAATAAAAAAATTATGAGGAAATGGCCATTTGTTGAGCATCCACTAGTTGCCAGGCAGTGGGAGGCATATCAGAGAAGAGCCCTGTCCTGTAGGGAGAAACCTGGGAGGTGGGGTCTATGAGCTGTCTCCGTGGAGTACATGAGGCCGACCTGTATGGGGTGGTTTGGGGAGGGACCAACGAGACCTGCCCCACACCACCCCTTGGCACAGCTACTGCTCCCATGGGGGAGAGAGGCGGGGGGGGGGGGGGGGCGCGGGGAGAGACAAGTCACTGAGGCGCAAACTCCAGGATCAGCCCAGTGTTAGTTAACACAGAGGACAGGTTCCTGGAACAAACAGGCTGAGGAGTCACAGAGGGCTGCCTCTGCCCAGGGCCTGAACAGCAGATGGGAAGAGGTGAGGGGTCTAGGGATGGAGGCAGGGAAGGAACTCGGATGGCTTGGAGAGAGAGTGAGGCGTGAAGGAGGGTGCCCCTGCCTGGCTGGCCAAGCCTGTTTTCTTAGGAGCCAGGGGATGAGGGAGTTGAGCCCACACTGTATGCTCTGGGGACCTGCAGGGGGGTGGAGAGTTGAGCAATTGGCTTCCAGGACAGCACTTGCCAACATCCCCTGCCCCCTCCCCTAAGGCTGAGGGCTAAGAGCTGGGCCCCAACAGTTGATGGGGTGTTGAAGTTTATGGTGCCAGGCGCCCTCTAGTGGGCTTAGGGGGAACAGCTGTCAGGTACCCCAGACAGAAGCTCTCGCCTGGGATACCTCCTGGTAGACAGATTCTGACTTTGAGGGCAAAAGAGCTGGGAGTTTAATAAATCATACCTTGGAGAGGTATGGCACAAGGAGAATAACCTCACTTCCGTTTCCAGTGATTCGTAGCAGCTGCTTAAAGGACATGTACAGAATGTTCTAAGGCCCAGTTGGCACTCAGTGGGGGAGTCTGTCATAAGTGATGTTGACCATGGGCAAGTCCTCAGACCCTGGAGTTCCTGAAGGTGACCGCCCTCTGTAGCCTGAGCACCATCCCCTCCCCAGGCTGCAGTAAGTCAGAGGACAGGTCTGGAACGAGGGATGGGGGTGTCCCTGTCCAAATGACCTGGGGGTGCTGAGCAGGAGGCCATTCACAGGTTCTGCCTGCTCACCCCCAGGCAGCCACAAATGGGGTTCAGGTTTATTAGGGCTAAGGGTGCTGAGTTCCTCAGACTTTGTCCCAGGCTCCCAGCAATGGGGAGGCCTTGGTGGAGGGGAGTCATCTCGGTCTTTGGAGTGATCCACAGCACCTCTCCCAGCCAGGACAGGATGTGTAAGAGAGAGAGGAGGCAGCTTCACCGGCTTACACATTTATTGAACCAAAGGCTCCTGGGACAGCAAGAGGACCAGGGGAGGGGCCAGGCCTTCAGGCTTCTCTCCCCTCTTCCGGCCTTGAGCTCCAGATAAGAGGCAAAGGCAGAGCTGTTCTGTGGCATGAAGAGTCCAGGGAGGATGTTCCACTGTCTGGGGTTGGTGTGCCAAGTGCTCGGAGCCCCTCACAGCACCTTGCCTGGGTTCATGAGGCCTCGAGGATCCAGTGTGGCCTTGAGCTGCCGCATGGTCTCTATGCCCACGGCTCCTACCTCCTCCTGCAGCAGCTGCCGCTTGCCCAGCCCAATGCCATGTTCCCCTGTGCATGTACCGTGGAGTGCCAGCGCCCGCCTGGGAAGCAGTGAAGAGACCATCAGCGGGGGGCTCCTCCTGCTCCCCTCAGTCTCCCCCACCTCCCTGGCCCAGACTTTGCTCTTACCTGCCTAGCTGCTGTGCAAAGGCCTCAACCCTGCGGAGCTCCTCGGTATCCTCCGGGTCTACCAGCAGGATGCAGTGGAAGTTGCCGTCGCCCACATGTCCAACAATGGTTCCTGGAGGCCCAGAGGACCCAGCTGCTGCTCCCAGTCCAGCCTCCCCCCCTCCCCACTACGCCAGCAGTGGGCAGGCAGCACCTGTGAGCCCCGAGGCCTTCAGGTCCTCCTTGGCCTGTACCAGGATCTCCGGCAGCCGGGAGATGGGCACACAAACGTCAGTGGCATAGCCCTGGAACAGGGGCAGGCCTGTGAGATTCTCCCCTCACCCCCTGCCTGCCCAGAGGTAAGGGGTCACAGTAGTCAAGGTCTAGGGGGCTTGCCTGCTCTCTGGGGCTCAGTTTCCCCTGTACAAGATGATGGCCGGTGCGTGTTCTCCAGACACTGCCAGCCAAGGCATCCACAGCTCTCTGCTCCCCACCCTTGCTATGTCCCTCCCAACCCCCCTTCCCTGTGCCCAGGGCCTGGCTCAATGCAGAGGTCCCTCCTGAGGGTTTGGCAGATGACTCTGCTTTCCCTCTAATGGCTAAGTGGAGGCCGTTCTGCCTGCTGTGGGCTTAGCCTGCTGCTCTGGACACCAAGTTAGTGGGCTGAGCAAAGGGTTCATGGGTGAGCCGTGGGTCCCACTTCCCCTCAGCCCAGCTCACCTTGCAGCCCGGCCGCAGGGCCAGGGCTGCGTACCAAGCATTGTGCCGGGCGGCCCAGAGCTGGCTGCGCTCCTCCGCCTCCTTGGCCCAGGAGAAGTGGAAGGCTCCATTGGACTGAGTGATCTCCTCTGCAGGGGGACGGGGGAATTGACTCCAGACCCTACGCTGGGCAGCCTGTGCCCCTGCCCCCCGGCTCCCCAGCACACCTGTCCGCTGCACCTGCTCCCCCAGGGCCTGCTCGGAGCCATGGAACTCAAGGAAGAGCGTGGGTGCCACGCGGCAGTCCAGTTTGCTGTGCCTGTTGCAGGCGTCCATCATGACCTCATCCAGGAACTCTGGGACCAGGGAGAGGGCAGGTGAAGTGAGGGCTGGCCTTCAAAGGGGGGCCTCTTCTGAGAAGCCCACCTGGACTGCCCAGTTCCCGGCTCACCAATGCGGGCCACAGGTACTGCAGCCTGGAGGA